GAGGCCCGTCTACAGAACAGTGGATGTGCTTTCAGAGTAACAAAAGAGGAGATTTCTGGAATGTCAGAGAAAAGAAGTTCTTCAACATATCCGGACTTTTGTTTGCCGATGATCTCATCCTGATCGGAAGGAATTACTCGGAGCTGGAAAAATTGTTAGAAATCACGTCCCAGTTTGGGGACGAGATGAAACTGACTTTTAATCCAGCGAAAAGTGCGGTTGTGACCTTCTCAAAGTGCGGTATAGGCACAGAGAAACGTCTACAGGTCCAAGGTCGAGATATACCAAGAGACACGCAATACAAATACCTGGGAATTACTGTATCAGATTCTGGCCACTACCTAGATGCCCAGGAGGACATCTGGGCAGAGAAATCTCAGAAAGTTCTGAACCAATTGCGAGCGAGAGCACTATGGGGATTCAATAGGTTCGAAATCTCCAAGACCCTATGGAAGGCGGTAGCCGTACCAGCGCTCACCTACGCTACCGGGGAAGCCTACCGCATCAGGAGAGATGTACTTTTTAATTGTCTTGCTGATTTGACTTATTCATGCCCTCATTGTTACGTGACGCGTTTCCGGACAATGAGAATATGCATCAAGACGCTGGAGAACAAAATATCAACAGCACAGAACGAGGCGGGAAGGTACGCTCTTGGGGTCCCCGGCAGTAAAGTGGCAACGGAATTCGTCACAGGAGAACTGGGCTGGTCATCTTTCAAGGCGCGAGAAGCCCAAAGTAAGTTGCGATATTTTAACCGAGTGAAATCCATGCACGACCACAGATGGCCGAAGGCCATAGTGGATATGATGGATCAGTGCGGAGTTAGGACAAAGGCATATCGGAGACTGCAGGAGCTGGAGCGTGAATTCAAGTGTGACGACATCACGTTAACTTTCACGCAAGAAGGAAAACCGCTCCACGGAATTCTCGACAGAGCGATTAAAGGAAGAATTCGCGAGGTTGAAACAAGCAAGTGGAAAGACTCGATGAGACTGAAAACTAGCTTGGCCCGAT